TTTTTAGTTTTAAATATATAAAAATTATATGTAAGAGATAATGTCTTAAGCTTCTTGGCTAATAAATGGGGACAACAAACCTGCATGCTAACTTTATAGTTCAAGTGTGTGTGTGTGTGGTGTATTGTGTGAATATGTGCACTCAGATGTGCACAGCTGGGTGTGGAGCCCAGAAGAGGACATTGGTATCTTCCTTTATCATTGCCCTCCTTAGCCTTTGGTCTGTCACTGACACTGGTGTTCAGTTAGGCTGTCTGGTCAGCAAGCACCAGTGTACTTCTCTCTCTCCACTCAAATGCCATTATTATGAAAAATGCTTCCAAGGACTGCGGTGGTGTATGTACATTCAGTGGTGAGGCCCAGGCTTCTGTCCCCAGTATAGGAGGGAGAAAATTGGAGGCATTGCTAAATGACCCTGAGAGGGATGCAAAATTGCCTCTAGTTGAGAATGACTGCTGAAGATGTTTCTCTACTGAAATTGGGTTTTTACTTCATTGGCTCAGCCTTCTCTAATAAGCATGAATTTCAAATTGAGAAAATGAAAAAAAAACCCAAACAATTGGTTTTTCCTATAAAATAAAGATACCATAGTTTTAAAACTGAGACCTTAGACTCACTTGAAATTATAACCTTTAGTCTTGTAAAAGTACATACAATTCATTTTCGGAATTTGGAGAGAACACTTTAGAGACAGAAGCCATTGAGTCACTTCTGAGGATATAATGCTGAACTGTTAAGTGATGGACCGAGATGGTTATAGTAGACGAAGTGTGGGGGCAGTTTATGGGGCTCATTCCTGTGATCCATGCTTATGTGGATGTGAATATGTGCCTAATCATCTGCTCCACTGAGAGAGCCTCTAATTACAAAGCAGTTCTGGTGGGAAGCTTGGGTGTGTGTGCTGGACGATGTGTGATAAAGCAAAGTGCTACTTGTAAGTGATGTGTATGCGCCAACCACCTTCTTTTCATTCTAATAGGTGGGCGGTGCTGGCCACGCTGGCTTTCTTTACACTTGTGTTATTTCGTTTGGTTGTGCTTCAGTTGCTTTTCCAATAATGCTGTAGTAATTAGATAATACAGCTGGTGGTCCAAACTCCAGGCTCTAATTTTGTGTCTCATTTAAAATGGTGATCATGCTGCTCAGTGAAATATGGAAATATTTTTTAAGTGGAAAGCATTGTAGAGAAGTATGGGGTCAGTTAGACAGTTCAGTGGGTGAAGGTGCTTGCTGCTAAGCCTATGATCTGAGTTCTATCCCTGGATCACACAGAGTGAAAGGAGACAACCCATAGGGCTAGCGAGATGGTTCAGTGGGTAGGGGTGCTTGCTACCAAGGTTGACAACCTGAGTTCAATCTCTGGGTCCAATCTCTGGGTCCCACATGGTGGAAGACAAGAAGCAACTCCCAGAAGTTGTCCTGTTGACCACCATATAAGTGTATGCACACACATACACAAATAAATAAGTGAACCAGAGAACTCACCTTCTCCAAGTTGTTCTTAGACTCCACTAAATTTCCTTTTACCGCCCCCCCCCCGTGACTCTTTTTGACATTTTTTCAGCTGTTAAAAGGGGATGCTTTTCCTAGTGTTGTAAGGCTAAACTCTAGACCTATACTATCCTTATTAATTGAAAGATATTTGTCTTTAGGGCTGGAGAGATGGCTCAGAGGTTAAGAGCATTGCCTGCTCTTCCAAAGGTCCTGAGTTCGATTCCCAACAACGACATGGTGGCTCACAACCATCTGTAATGAGGTCTGGTGCCCTCTTCTGGCCTTCAGGCATACACACAGAAAGAATATTGTGTACAATAATAAACAAATAAATAAATAAATATTTTAAAAAAAGATATTTGTCTTTGGAAAGCACTCTCCTAATTCTTTGTATTCCTCTGCTGTTATTTTGACCCTGAGGATTTATCAAGTGCATCATTTAAATTGCCATTGAGATGATTCTCGCTAGGCTTGGTGCAGACACCAGCAGTGTCTGGTAAACATATAACTGGGCTAATGGGGAGAGAGTCTTTTACTTTCCTATTAGAAACTTTTTTGTTTTCCTACTTTAGGATTGGATTGAGGAATTTTTGTGCAAAGTAATGTAGTTCTCTCCATTATTTTAGAGCGAGCCTAGGAAGAGTTTGTGTGTACATTGGTAGGTTTGGATCTCATAAGCCCATGAGAGAGGGGAGGGACAGGATAATTCCTGAGCAAAAACCAGGAGGTACAGAGGCTGCTCGAGATGCTGTCTCTTTAATTGGTTGGCATTGCATTATCTGCTCTTTGTAGGCTAATTTTCCTTTTTATCTGAAGATTCGGAGGCTAGATTCTGTCTTCCTATTGAGCTTCAGAGGACCACACGTGAGATGGATGCTACAGAGGTGCGATCAGTTTCTCTGAGCAGAAAAGAGATACAGCTTTTTTTCCTTGTCCAGTCAGAAGGCTCCTGACAAAGTTAGAAAAACATTTAAGGCTTGGCAGTGGGAAAGAATATGCAGGAGCCTGACATCTTGCATTCTTGAGCTTGTCTACAAAGGTGCTAAAAGAAAATTGTTTTTACTGAAAGGTATCAGTGTGGTGGTGAACATCTTTAACCCAGCACTAGGGAGGCAGAGGCAGGAGGATCTCTTTGAGTTCCATGACAGCCTGGTCTATGGAGCGAGTTCAGGACAGGGCTGTGTAGAGAGACCCTGTCTCAAAAACAAAACAAAACAAAAGCTGTCAGCCGGGCAGCCTGCCTACCTGTTGGTCTGTCTGCCTACCGGTGCCTTCCCTCCCTCACCCCTTGTTTCTTACTGTTTTTTTTTTTTGTTTGTTTGTTTGTTTCAGATAGGGTGTCTTGAACTCAGCTATCTAAGAGGATGACTTTGAATTTCTGGTCCTCCTCCCTGCTCTTCCAAGTGCTGAGATTGTGCGTGTACTTTCCTTCACCTGGTCTGTGCAGGGCTGGGGATTGAACCCAGGGTTTTATGTATGCTAGACAAGCTTTCTCCCCATTCAGCTACATCTCTAGCCTCTTATGAGTTAGTTTCCAATGAGTGTTAATTTAACATTTTATAGTTGATTAAATTATTCAGAAATCTTACAGTCTTGATTTGTTAGGAGTCATAATCTCAGAGATGGAGAGATGGCTCAACAGTTAAGAACACTTTGTCTTGCAAGAGGACCAGAGTTTGGTTCCCAGTGCCCATAGGGTGACTTAACAACCGTCCATAACTGCGGTTCCAGAGAATCTGACACGCTCTGCTAATCTCTGAGGGTTTCAGGCACATACATGCAGGCAGAACATTCATATACATAAAATAAAATAAATCTATTTTTTTTAAAAAAAAACAATCTCTGAGCAAGAAATGAGTGAGAAGGGCTGTAGGGCTGGACACCTTCGGCCCTAGTTCAGAAGGGACATATTTGCCTTTCTAGCGAGGACTTCTTTCTTGCTCTAGCTTCTTAGTTCTTGTGTGCAAGCATGCTTTGCAGCTCCCACTTTTTTTTTTTTCCTTCTTAGCAAATTGTACTAACAGTTTTCTTTTTGAGTCCTGGAGAGATAGCTGAGTAGTTCTTGTTCTCATAAAGGACCCAAGTTCATTTCCCAGCAACCATATGGTTGCTCACAACCATCTGTAATAAGATCTGGTGCCCTCTTCTGGTTTGCAATCATATATGCCGGCAGGCAGAACATTGTACACATGATAAATAAAATAAATCTTTAGGAAATAATTTCTTTCTTTTCTATTTGGTTTTTCAAGACAGGGTTTCTCTGTGTAGCCCGGCTGGCCTCAGGCTCACTGAAATCTGCCTGCCTCTGCTCCCTGAGTGCTGAGATTGAAGAGACCTGCTGCTGCCACCACCCAGCTAACAATGTTTTGTTTTCTTTCTTAACATGTACTTACTGTTTCATAACGCAAATTACTCTTGAGAGATTACACAGAATTAGAAAATGCTGTCATAATACACTGATTTCCACATTGGTAGAATAATGATAGTTTTATGGAATAACTGTTCTATAGACATAATGTTTTAAATCAAGACTATACATACCTCCCTTGGTCATAGTTTTAGAGTCCTGATGATGTTCTTATGACATCATTGTCATTACAAACTCCATATGGGAAACTCTTAGATAAGTTCAGTCCAAGTTCTTTCAAGAATATTCTCTTAAAATGCTGTTGACACAGTAGGAGAAAATATTTATCATATTTTTTGATCAACAGATATTTTTAGAGCCTGCCCTTTTAATTTAGAATATAAGGATAAAATAGATTCCATGTAAAAATAATCATAGAAGCATTGTATGTTGTAGTGTTGCTGGTGACTTGAATTAATAGAATCTTGATAGACCTTACAATGAAACACCTCTTTTAATTTTTTTGACATTAAAACAATGGGAACATACTCACCGTAGGGTAGAACTTACAATACAGGGATCCACATGCTTTTTCTTTAATGAGCCACACAGGCAGTATCTGAGGACTTTGTAGGCTCTCCATTCTCTGTTGCATCTGCTTACCTTTGTAGTCGGTAAGCCCCAGATGATACATAAATGAATGAGCATAGCTGCATTCCAATAAAACTTTATTTATGTACATTGAGATTTGAATTCTGTGTAATTTCTAAATGTCAGAATATACTCATTTTTGGAGTTCTTTTCCCAACCACTTTAAACTGTAGAAACCATTTGAGGGCTTCTGCACTCATCTCCATACCTCATAGGTCATACCAGAAGAAGAAAGAAAAGGAGAATAAGCTATTGGTTGCTGCTTCCTATGACCTTTTATGACAGTAACTCTAAATGTATTGAAACTTGTATAATATGTAAGAGTTTTAGCATTCTTTTACCTTTGGAGGGGAGATGAGTAAACTTTACCTGTGTCTTCTATGTGAAATTTACATACCAGATTGACGGAATGGGCTGAAGTGAAGTTAGAGAGATGATTGGGATGTTTCCATTTGAAAATGGTTTTTGACTGGAATAGCTGAGTTCTCTTGTATTTTTTTTTTCCTAGTGAAACTAGCAGTGTATGCAGTAGCAGCGACACAGGGCTCTTCACCAATGATGAAGGACGGCAAGGTAATCTTGGTAAAAGTTTAGAAGTGTTTTTAAAGACTTATTATTTTTTAATTTAAATTATGTGTATACATGTGTGTCTGAGTGTGGGTATGTGCAAGTAAGCGCAGTCACCTGTGGAGCCCAGAAGAGGGCGCCAGATCCCCTTAGAGCTGGAGTTACAGGTTGTGAGCTATCTGATATGGGTATTGGAAACCAAACTCTGGTCCTTCGGAAGAGCAGTACACATTCTTAACTCTGAGCTTTTTCTTCAGTTCTGGCACAGTAATCTTGGTTCCAGCTTTGGGACTTTGTCTCAGTGATTGATTCAGTTCAGTAACTGTGGAGTGACTTATTGATGGTGTGTGAGACCCACTTGGGGAACTGTGGACAGTTCAGATTCCCTGAGCTGCTCAAAATCAGATAGGTTTGGAGTTGGTCCCTGGAGTCTGTAGTTTTTACAGGCCCTGAAGTAATTCTTAAGGCTGGAACTTGTGAAAGTTTCTCTTACTTTTAGCTAGTAATATTCTCATACATAATTCTTTTGGGAAGGGTTGATATGTTCTTTTTACTGAGGAATAACTTTTGCCTTATTTAAGTTTGAATGCCTGAAGATTATGATAGAGTCATAGGGATAACCCTGTAGTGCCCTGGAAGAATATTTAATAAGTGTCTTAAAAAGTCACTTAAATGTGCGTATTTTTTCCTGGAGGTACCCTGACTGATAGCCTTTACGTGTGTGTGTGTGTGTGTGTGTGTGTGTGTGTGTGTGTGTGTGTGTGTGTTGCCTTTTGATTTTGTTTGTTTTAGATGTTTTTAAATTTTAGTATATAAGTGTTTTTGCCTGCATGTATGTAATGTGTACCATGTGTATGCCTGGTAATCTCTTAGGTCAGAAGAAAGGCATTGAATCCTGGGAACTGGAGTTATGGATGGTTATGTGTCCCCATGTGGGTATTGGCAACTGACCCCAGGTCCTCTGCAAGAGCATCAAGTGCTCCAAACTAATAAGCATCTCTCCAGCCTCTGCTTTTTAAAATCACCTGTTGTGTTATGTGCTTTCCATTGAAGCATTCCACAGCTGGGGATTAATATTCTTAAATATTTATTTTTTATGTTTTGCGTATGTGTGTGTCTGAGCATATGTATGTGCACCATGAGGGCTCATGATCCTGAATGCGTCAGAAAACTCATAAGATCCCCTGGAACTAGAATGGTGGATGGTTGTGAGCTGCCATGTAGGTGCTTGGAACCAAACCTAGGTACTAATCACAGTAAGTCATCCTAAAACTGAGCCATCTTCTTGGCCCCAGGAATTATTTCTGACCATGCTCCCTTATACATTGCCTGGAATACAAGAGCCCCAATTAAGTTGCTAAACCTAGGTAAGTGTAAGAGAGGGTGCAGTGAAGCCCCCAAACTAGACTACTCTGTGTAGACAAAAAGGTTTATTGGGATCAAACAGCCGAGGCTGCCTCTAGGAGAGGGTGCCAGAGAGAAGCAAGATGGCAGCATTTTATCTGACAGTCTCACAAAACCTCTTCTACCTCAGCCAGTCCCCCACTCCCTGCCTCCCTCCCTCCCTCTTCCCTCTCTTTCCCATTCATTCATTCATTCATTCATTCCATCCATCCATATTTCTATCTATCTATTTGGTTTTGAGGCTTGATCTCTCTGCATAGTCCTGGCTGTCTTGGAACTAACTATGTAAACCAGGCTGTCTTCAAACTCACAAGAGATACTCCTGCTTCTGCCTTCTGAGTGCTGGGATTAAAGGAGTGTGGCACCATGCCCAGCTACAAGTCCTTTTTTAAAAAATTTATTATTGGATTATGAGTGAATTTCCATTCTGCATTAATTCATTGTCAGAAAACATAATCTAATGAGTTTATCTGTTGCAGTCATGTCTTGAGAAATGCTTCTTGATGGGAATGGAACGAGCATGTCATAGTGCATAGAAGCTGGCCATGTTTACCAGTGCCTGTCCTGAGTCCACCTGTGTCTCTGCCTGGTGAGGCACATTGTTCTCAGATTGTGCTCCCCAGACCTGCTCAGCTTCACGAGGAAACTTACTAGTATTTGGTTCAGATCAGAAACTTTGGTAGATAGGGCCCAGCGGTCTGGATGTCATCTGACATGTATCTTCCTTCCCATCTTTTGTCATCTCCTCACTTCCCCAACATCCTGGTTTTCACAAGCGCCTCTGGTGCTTCTGATGCTTGCTGGAGTTTGAGAATCCCTGTTTCCAAGTCAACTGTTTGCAGTGAGACACCAGTATATACCAAAGAGCATCTCCTTTGGTACTTGGTAGTAATAGCTATTATTTGTAGAATGTAGGGTCCATTGCCCACCTTGGGATTTCCACATTAATTTTAATTAATTTTAAGAGTTGTTATTCTCTGTGTTAGTGGCTTCGTGTGTTTGGCATGTGGAACCTGGTGTGTGTGTGTGTGTTTGTGTTTGTGTGTACACATATACATATGTTGGAGGTTGAAGGCCTCATGAACCTTAGATGCTATTGTAATAGTTTACTTTGTTCTTGTGGTTTGGAAAGGGGATGAGGTAGCAGACATGAAGATGCCTCTTTATTCCTGTCTTGTTGGCAGGAGTACACTCTAGTAGAAATTGAGCTGTTATTATGGTAGGTAATTGGAAGTTCAAACCAAGAGGTTTGATATATGGGTTAGTTGGGACCTTACCATTAATGAGCAATGTGGCCCTTTTGAAAAGTCTTAGAGAGCTTTATTGCTTGTTTCTCTGGTTAGTCTTTTCCTGGTAGCTTGGATTTCTAGTTCAAAATGATTTTCTGTCCTATCAAAGAGATAGCAACCAAAACAAAGTATGGGCATAATTTTTTAAAATTGAGCTATACATTTTTTCCCCTCTCCCCTTCCTTCAGGCATAAATTCTTTACTGATCTATTATGATAAAATATAAATATATAAAAATTCCTCAGCGATTTTTGAATTGAGAAACATTGCTTTGAACTCTGTTTATCTAAATGATGGGTAATGGTAAGGAAGGCAGTTTGTTTTTTATGGAAAACACTTGGCCTTTGTCAGGTTCTGAGTTCAAATTCTGTTCATTTGCTAGCTTCACCCTGACTTTTGGGTGTGAGTTGCCTCGCTGTAGGTTAGAGCTTGGGGTTTTCTGGAGAGAAAACATACTTTTGAGTTTTCCACATGGATTCTGAAGGGCTGGAAGGCTAGATCTTAGATTTTACTATTTAAGAGGTGAAAAACAGTCCAGCATTCATGTGGAACTAGGCTGATGCCTTAGTTTTTATCTTAATGTGTGTCAAGAGGGACTGGACAGGTTCTTTTGTGCTTTGGTTTATTTGACAGTATAATAACTATAGCATTAAGAAACCCTCCTGGTGTTTGGATTTTAACATGACAGCTCAGGACATGATCTGTTTCCTTTAGGGGATGATGAGCAAAGTGATTGGTTTTATGAAGGAGAATGTGTCCCCGGATTCACTGTCCATAACCTTCTGCCCAAGTGGGCTCCTGATCACTGCACTGAAGTAGAAAGAATGGACTCTGGACTGGATAAATTCTCAGATCCCACATTCCTTTTACCTTCCCGGCCAGCTCAAAGAGGTGAGTTTGGAGAGATGAAAGTCAAGGTCATGACTTTATGGTTCTCTTTGTGAAGACTCAGCATGCCCTGCTCAATCACTTGCCTGCCTCTGGCAGTGCATTGCTCTCTGAATTGAAGAGTTGGCTCAGGATTCTAGAGGATTCAAGGGTGAGTCTCAAAGCTCAGGGTTCTCCCACTAAGTCAAACCATGTAGACTCTGGGGACACATTTAGGAAGCCTGGCATCAGTCACGTCACAGCATATCCTGCTCTAAAGCTGACACAATACTTCTGGAATGCTCGTTGGAAGTTTGAAAGATCAGTTCTTACAAGGAGCATTCACATGCAAGAAATTATGGCATTTTTAAGTGGATGGCTTTAAAATACTTCTTTAAATGTATTTGTTTTAATGATCCTATTATTGTGTATTTTGACACAAATGCGTGTCTGTTCCTTTGCTTCATTTAAGTTCTAAAGGAGCAGAATTGGGTAGAAAGGACCCATAACAGAAGTGTGGTGACACTTCTCTTTAGTTAACTCCATATGGTGACCAAGTCATTTCACTTTTTGGAATGTCTGGGCCATTGCCTAAGATGTGTGACAATGAACAAGACTGTTTTATAATTTATTTAGCTCTGTAAATGTAGGACTCTCAGGGAGTAGCAATCAACCATTTAGCCAGTTATCTGGTATTTGTTGATGTTTGTTGCTCTCAGTGGTACACCTGTGATCATACTGCTCAGGACAAAGATATGGGCACAGTAAACCTTGTGAAGATGCTGAGGTAAGGGCTCCAGTGTGTTAGAACATCTGTGCTTATGGATCTTGTACGTTCAACAATGGAGGCCCTTTTCTTTCCACAGGATACCATGGTCGTCTGAATCGGTTGCCAGGAGCTGCAGCTCGGTGCCTCAGGAAGGGGCGGAGAAGGCTGGCAGGGAAGGTGACAGATCTCATGGTTTCTCCAGTGCTGTGGGAAGGTGGTAGTCCCCATAGGATTTGCATGCCCTACTGACATTGAAGGCATCACAGGACTCTCTGGAGTTAATGAAACCAACTTAAATGTTCTGGGAGTTAAGTAGGGTGAATGAACGTTATGTGGGATTTGAATGGATCCAAACATGAAAGATAAACACTTTATCCTCGTAAAAGTTCTGACCAAGCACTTGCTGCCGCCTCTGTTGCATATAGACCGCTGATTTGATCTCTCTCGTCTGCACTTGTGATTAACCCTATATTATTGTATAAGTTTTGAAAATCTCTTTTGGCTTCTTTATAACTCCTGAATTCAGAAATGTATTTTTCTCCTCATTTGACTTTTTATTCTAGAATTGATTTAAAAGGAGAAAGCTAAACAACAACAAACAGAACCAAATGAGTACATCTACTCCCTTACACATCAAATAGCACTAAGCCTGCTTCACAGTAGTCTAAGAGCTCTTCCCTGGCCCCCGGGACATCTGCTTTTCTTCAGTTCTGTGCTTGCCAGGGCCATCGATTCTTCCTAACTGTTGCTTCAGCCCACAAAGAAAGCTTAGGTTCAAAGAAGTAAGAAATGTGTGGCGTTTTTTTGCATCCAAGTAGCAGAATAGAGACTTGAACCTATGGTAACTTTATTCTTTTTAAACTAAATTTTTTTTTTTTTTTTTTTTTTTTTTTGGTTTTTCGAGACAGGGTTTCTCTGTGGTTTTGGAGCCTGTCCTGGAACTAGCTCTTGTAGACCAGGCTGGTCTCGAACTCACAGAGATCCGCCTGCCTTTGCCTCCCGAGTGCTGGGATTAAAGGCGTGCGCCACCATCGCCCGGCAACTAAATTTATTTTTATTTTTTAACCTTTTGGAGACAGGGTCTCCATATGAAGTCCAGACTGTCCTGGTACTTGCTTTGTGTCCCAGATTGGCCTTCAACTTGAAAGTGTTCTGTCTAACTTCTTGAATTCTAGTATTATAGGCATGCACCTAGCTCTTCATTCAAATTGTATTCCAGAGATTGAGAAATAGGCTAAGGCAAAGGTTCCCTAGCCAGGCAGGGAAGATGGTAATAAGGAAGAGTTGGTCAAACATTTAGAATGCCTGCTACAATGTTTGTCAAGCCGTGTGTTTGGTTGTCGGTCACAATCATCTGGCTACTACTTTGTGTTGTATTCTACCCAGAGAGTTATTTTCTGAAGTTTTTGGCATGGGGTGGTCCAAGAGGTGAAGTTAATGACTTTGTGTGTGTTTGCCTCAGAAGACAGTTTGCAGGAATTACTTCTCTCCTTCAGTCATATGGATCCTGGAGATTGAACTCAGGTCATCAGACTTGGTAGCAAGTGCCTTTACCTACTGAGCTATCTCTCCAGCCAGATTGTTATTTCTTACCTTTAAATTCCAATTCCAGTCTCTAATTAGAGAGACATTGGATCACTGGAAGAATCCCACCATGTTCGTTTTGGCTTACTCCATGTATAGACCATGGACTAATACCCTTGTTGTAGGATTGGGGAGCTCACTCTTGACAGGGAGCTTCTGTGTAGATGGGGTTAAGGAAGACAGAAGCTTGAGAGTAGACAGTGAGGTTTTACTTTCCCCTCCCATTGATAGGTAAAGTAATGGTCTCCCCACCACCTGCTGCCTTTCTTTAAGCTCAACAAAGGAAGCGCTTTCTGCTTCCGTGGATGTGAGTTAGTTCATCCTGAAGGCTCTCTTCAGTGTGCTTGAGAGGAACCTAGGGTTTATTGGACAAGAGCTAATGATCTCAAGTGAATTGGGTGAGATGTACTTTTTAAATTGGTCCTCATCACCTTAAAGGGAGAGCTGTCATTTCTAGCAGAGGTCATCGCTCTGTTCTCCATGCCCCTCTCCAGTCCCTCTCTTCTCCTCTAAAACAATGATCATAAATAATGAGTTTCATTCACAGCTCCTTGCCAGCGAGCTGCTAATTACACAAAGTACTGCTTGTAATTTACACAGTAATAAACTATAAATTTAACTATTACGGCATTTTAAGTTAATAATTTTTCTGCTATAACAAATAGCTCATTATTCACCCATCTTTCCCCTGGCCTCTCTACCTTCTGTGTCTGATCTGGAGGCATAGCCAGAGAGGTGAAAAATACGAAGAATGTAACGTGTGACCTTCCCCTTGGTGCCACCCATCTTTAGAATCTGACCTCAGAGTAATTTTTCTAAAGCTGGTGGTTCTGTTCAGGTGTGTTTCCTATTCTTCAAGCTAACGCACACACATAGTCGAGTACAAACGCCAGGATACAGATGTGTTTGGGTAGCACCGACACTCATGCCTGTGACTTGTGTCCTTTTGCCTTAGCACTTCTTCTTGTGTGTGACTCTTGTTTCTGTGCAGGTTGCTATGACAGATATCATTGTATGTGCTCCTTAGGGAAGGGTGAGTGCCTTCTGCCACCCTCCAGTGGAGATGTCTGGTTTGCTGTGGTGTTCCCGCTATGCTTTCACACTGCAGTCCTGAGAGCCCTGGATTTAAGAATCAGTTTATACAGCCTTCTGCTTTTACTTTAAAATAATGTTCAAGGGACGGAACACAGTGATAATCTTTGTGGGTTTTGTTTGTTGTGGTGCTTTATGGTGTCATAGCCTCGTGCTTTTTTTGTTTGTAGCACAAGTTCTTTAACACATAGACATGCATTCAGCAGATATTCAGTGAGGGTTCAGTCAGTGTTTGTTCTTGGTGCTTGTTGAGCCTCAGTCAAATAGTTTATGGAGCTTAGTGTGCTCTTCTGCTAAAAACTGGTCCTGTTGCTGAGTGTGCTGACACATACCTCCAATCTCAACACTCGGGAAGCTGGAGCAGGAGTTGGAGACCAGCATTAGCCACACAGTGAAACCATGCCTCATAGATAAATAAATAAATGGTGTTGAATCTTCCAAAAAGGTTTTTCTGCTTCTTTATACTCTAGTACTCTAGGAAATATTATTGTTCCATTGTTATAATTATTATATTAGTACTCCAGGAAGTATTACTATATTAAAATTGCATACACATCTAAACAGTAAATAACACATACACATGCTAAAACATTACTTGGTATTATATTTATATTTCACTTATGTGTTAATTAAAAAATAAACTGCTGGAGAGAAAGCTCAAGCTGGCAAAGTGCTTGCAGAGTACTTGAGTGTGTTTCCCAGAACCATGTGGGAAAAAAAAACCTCAGGTGCGGTGGCATGCTTGTAATCCCAGTACTGGGGAGGAGGAGGCAGGAAGGTATCTGAGGCTCACTGATCAGACAGCCTAGTCTGCTTGGTAAGCTCAGGCCACAAGAGACTGTCTCAAAGCAATGTAGACAATGCCTGAAGAATAGCACCTCAGCCATTCATGCACACGCTTACTGCCTGCCCACACATGTACCGGCGCACACGCTTATACAAAAGTAAATTTAAAATAGGAAAGAATCCCACGTCCAACAAACAGTATTTATAATGGCTTTTTAAGTTGTTTTGAGTCAGCAGAAACTAGCTAGATAATAGATGATTCTTCTAAGATGGACTCACATTAAAAAAATAGTTGCCGTTGGATTTTAAGATTGACACAACCTTATTGGCTGGGATAGTTAGAAAAAAATTAAGCTTGGCGACAGCTTAAAATGTATATATTTGCTTCTGTGGTTTGACGACACTCTTGTTCTTATCCTTTTAGGAGACCAGCCTAAGCAGTCTAGGAACCGAGAGGATAAGCCATATCATCAGTGACCCCAGCCAGAAAGAGTAAGTGCCTAAATGCCTGCTGGCTGTCCTAGCCTGGTCCTTGGAGAAAGCGGTAGAGAAGGCTTTTTATAAAGCAATCTTTCTATTAGACTTCAGAGCCAAAAGAGGGGATTTTAAAGATTGATATTTCCTCACAGTTAAGATGGATGAAGTCAGGTCAGCAAGATGGCTTGTGGCTAAAAGTGCTTGCCACCTGTTGTTGTTTAATCCCCAGACCTACACTAAGGTGGAAGGGAAGAACCAACAGAGTTGTCCTCTGACCCTCCCAAGTGTGCTGTGGCACACACAATAATTAGAAATTTTTTAAGATGACAGTTATTTCTTTCTCCTTTCTAGAGTATTTTTTTTTTTACTTTGTTGCCTGTTATATTTCTAGGTACTATGAGTCCACCACTAGATATAATAATTTAAGTGCATTTTTCTCTCCTAATTTTTTTAATGGTCATTCCAAATGTCTGATTGCTTCTGTTCTCCTTCAGACCTCTTTAAGGAGAACTATTTCTGTCCCTGTTACTATGGTGAATGCATGCATGACTGTAGCTACACAGGAATCATTTGCCTTGCTTCGTCTCCTAAACGGTTGGCTTTGCTGTGTGCTTTGCCTTCCTGCGGGTCTTCCTTGGCAAAAATTTGAATATCTGCTGAGTAAATACATACATGTTGGGGCTGGAGAGATGGCTCAGGGATCAATCATAAGGACCAGAGTTGGGATCCCCAACACCAACATGAAGAAGCAGGCAGATGTGGTAGGCCTGCTTGTAATATCAGCACTTGAGAAGTAGATCCCAGGGAACTCTAGGTTCAGTGAGAGACCTTGCCTCAATAAATGAAGTGGAGAGTAAGCCAGGAAGACATCAGCCATTAACCTCTGACCTCCACACACGTGCTCCTGTGAACTTACACTCCTGCCTTCACACATACACACATGCACACATATCATATACAACTACCCATGTAAAAATAAGTTCCCCATATTTGTATATGTTAAAGAACTTGTATAATTTATTCCTTAATCATTATGGTCAGTGCCCAAGGGCAGTCCTGTACATATCTAACGTCTTTTTCTCACTGCACAGCTGAGATAAGGCTGTTGTCTTAGTTGACTGTCCCTTGTCTGCCTTCTCCACTGAAGAGTCACTTCAGGACACCTAGCGGGTGTCCTTCTTCAGCTGCTTCCCGCCCAGTTCCTTCTTTGTCTTCACTTGAGTATCCCACCTTTTACCTTCTTCCCTCATACTTTTCCTATCACTTCTTTCATTGTTTTCTTTCCTGTTATTCTCTCTTTAGTTTCTGGTTACCATCAGCTGGGAAAAGAGAACGAAAGCAGGTAAGATAACTTTTTTGGGTCATCTTTTATCATTCAATTTCCTTTTCTTTAGAAAGAATAAAGCATTGGCTTCTGATTTTCCTCCCATTTCTGCTTGTGCACATGAGGTGAGTAAGATCACTTCCCGATCACTCTTGACTTTTTTGAGAGCTGTGTTCCAAGACTGCCCTTGCTTACCTGTAAGAACTGTGGCCAGTTAGATTAGATTAGATTCAGCTGCATTTGTCAGCTTCTTAGTAGTAACACACTTATGTGTCCATGTGGATATATGTACATGTAAGCGCAGGTGCCTTCAGAGGCCAGAGGGCGTCCGATCTGCTGGAGCTGGAGTTACAGACAGTTGGGAGCTGCCTGACATGAGTGCTAATGAGAACCAAACTCTAGTCTTCTGGAAGAGCAGTGTTTGCTCTTAACCCTTGAGCCCAATGCTTTAGTTTTGAACTTTGATTAAAAATGTAAAGTGGGTCTCATGTCTCTGGTTTAGTTTGCCGTGCGAATCCTGTGCTGTGACTTCTGAGCACAGGATGCAGAGGTTGAGCTCCTTCTGGGGAAGTGATCACGGCCTTAGAGCCTTTCCTCTTTGTCTTTTCCTTTTCCTTTGTGGAGGCCTTACTATACTCAGACCGTGAGTGGATCTGTGATTTAAAAGTGACTCATGGTCGTTCTTGTTAGGTTTATATATGTTTGAAACCCTTTCAGCTTAGAGGTGAGGGTAGTTCTTAGCTGTGAAATTGATGAAAACTGATGGGCAAAATTTCTCAGGCTTCCTCTTGCTCTTTGGTTGACTGGTTGGTTATTTTGGGGCTACTTAGCATTTTATTATGTTACACAGTTTATATTTGCAAAGTTCACTGGGAAGTTTTTGTTTCACAATTAACTAGAACAGTGGAAGATAAAACCAGTGTGTGTTTATGAGATGGTTTTAATTTATGTATTTTTAAGTTATATATTAATAAATGCATTAGAAAAAATGTAACTGTGTCAGACTTATCTTGTGGAAACAGGATAAAGCTGAGTTTAAGAAATTGGTGTAATGCAGGTGGTAGGCAGATAAAGAATGGGTCATGAGGTGGCATGCAAGAGATTTGGGGACTGTTAAACTAGAGTGTGGATTGTATTTGCTTCAGCGCATGCATTTGCTCCATATTCCTTATGTATAAGTGAGGAACAGTGCATCATGGGTTTCTACTATTTTCCTGAAGTTGCAAAGCTGTGTGGACTAGCTAAGTTTCTGTTTTTGTTTTTGTTTTTTAAACTATGTTTGAAGTTACCACTCAAGTTCTTTCAGACTTAAGTCATTAAGGTACCCATTTTTCAAAGGACTGTTTGCAGGAAAAGCACAAAGAAGGCTAGCAAACATAAAGTGAGGTGCTTTGTGCACAGTACCCTGTTTGATCGTCAGCCTCCTGTCTGGCTCTGTCATTTTGCTGCTAAGGATGGTATGCTAACATATGTGCTGCACTCTCACCCTCTCAGTCACCTTTTAGGGTCAATAGGTGAGAAACTGAAATTACTTTATGACCTGAAAAGCAGTACCTGAGTTAGCACTGCTTGTAACCCATAAGACAGGTAAGATGGCCCTCGAGAGGAGGCTAGCAAAATTCAGAGGTGATGCAACTTCTAAACATAAGCAAATCAGTGTGATTCAGTTAGTTTGGCATTTCAAGTCTAGGTACCTTCTGTTTGCACTGTACTTACACTGTGTGCTGGGGTGTCCTTGGAAGGGCAATGTCATGCTAGTCCTCTTGGGAAAAGGCTGATAGTTAGTGGATAATCACTAGGTGTAAGTTCCTGGACTATCCATTAAGAAGTACTGTATTGGGGGCTGGAGAGATGGCTCAGTGGTTAAGAGCATTGCCTGCTCTTCCAAAGGTCCTGAGTTCAATTCCCAGCAACCACATGGTGGCTCACAACCATCTGTAATGAGGTCTGGTGCCCTCTTCTGGCCTGCAGGCATACACACAGGCAGAATATTGTATACATAATAAATAAATAAATATTTAAAAAAAAAAAAGAAGTACTGTATTTTGCCATGTAAGTGATTATTGCTTAAAAGTTTGTTTGATATGAAATAGTTTTGTCTGCTATATGCTGGGACATCATGGACATGAGGTTAGAAATGTACAACTTTATTGAATGATATCAATGCTTATGGTAGAAGGGTTGGACATAATCAAAGAGAGCATGTAGGCTGCTCTTTGGAATCAGGTCTCTTTCAGTGAAGCCATACTAAAACAGTCTGATTTATCCCTACAGTTTAATCCTCTCTCCCCCCTTTACTCCCTGGATGTTCTTGCTGACTCTTCTCATCGAAGGTGTTCCCCTGCACACTGCTCTGCCAGGTAATTGACTCCCAGTAGTGATTATTTTCTTTTAGAAAATGCTGTGTTCTTCTTCTTAACCCTTGAGATTATATAGTATATGTGCAGAGGATCTGATTTGATCCTTCAGAGGTGAGTTGATGTTTCACAGATGCAGAAACAGGCTGAGGGTGGAGGAATTTATATGTCTTCTGGCCCATATTTTGCATTATTTCTGCTTCTAAAAGCCCATCTTCAAAGAACATTATTAATGTCCCTTGCCATGACCTGCAAAGCCCTGCATAATCTGATTTCTGCCAACATGGCCAGCTTCCTTTCATATAGTTCCATCCATTCTCTGAGCGGAAAGATTAACAGTATTAGGGAGCTTCATTTTCTTCTTTAAAAATGGCAGCCTTTCCTGCCTTGGACCTTTGCTCTCGTTCTCATTGCCTGGAATCCTCTTTGAACCCCTGGATAACTAAGGGGTCATCTGCAGCACCATCTGGTTACTCTGTTTGTTTCCTCCCTAATTCTTACCGTTGTCTGTAGTGAATATGTGAACTAATTTATTTAAAATTCTACCCCTACCCCATTGTCTTCTCTAGGGTGCAGAAACCTTGTCTAATTCCCTGATAAATCTCAGCATGTGCACCTGGCACTTGTTAGGTTTTCTTTATGTATATAACACATTTCTCATTATGGATTCTCTTAATTCAGGTGACAAGGAAGTGGGTATGGTTTGATGATAGTATTTCTTAGCAGTGTTATTGTGCATAGAACAGCTAACAGTCTTCTTATTTTTAGTAGCATGAAGAATTTCTTTCCCAAGGTCCTGATGCCTTTTGTTTTGTTTTTTGTTTTGTTTTCTGAGACAGGCTACCACTTTCACTGTGTAGATTGTCCTGGAACTATGTAGACCAGCCTGGTCCTGATCTCACAGATCTGCCTGCCTCTGCCTCACAAGTGCTGGGATTAAAGGATATGGCATTCCACCCAGCTTCTGACACTTTTTTATTAGTCAGCTCTTAAGTAAGTGAGCTCATAGACTTGTGCTGTAGCTGCACAAAGAAGTAGCTGTTCCTTGGACATAGTTACAAAGAGTTAGGATAATGAGCATAACCTACTACTAGATCTTAGAGTTGCTAAGAATGTGGAATTGGGAGGTGATACAAACTTCCACTGTAGGCCTTTACTCCAGTATCATGCTGTGTGTTTATCATTCATTCATTCAGCATTTGTTGACTCCCTACTGTGTGCAAGGCTTTTAGTTTAGAACTGAAGCTCTCAAAAGAAAGTCAGATATGGAAACTGACAGCTATGATAAAGCTCCCCCCGCCAACACACAGAGGTGGGGCTCCTAATGCAGGCCCATGGGAGGTTTTCTAGATCGCAGTCCAAAGAAGAACATGCCTCTGTTTTGTCTTGATAATAAAGTAGTAGTTATGCATGTTCTGTGGGAAGACAGATGAACAGTACCACTTAAATCCAGTGCACAGAGTGGATTCCTCTGCTCTCCTTCCTCCATGTCTGCTACCTGAACTGTACTTAGGGCAACATCAGCATTGCTCTCTTCTTCCATTAGAAGCCCTCCTGTGGCCAGTACCCAGAACTCGATTCATGATACTTATGCACCCTGTTATTCTGTCGTTATTGTTGCTCTCTTGACTGGCATGTATTGCTGCCCCGGAAACATTAAGAAAACTTCTAGTGCCCGCAGCTCAGGGGAGTGCTGCTGTTGTTTTGAACTCTTGCTAGAAGCAAAAGAGAGAGGATGGTGGTGATTACTAGTTGTCTTTGTCTTGTCTTTAGGTAGCAGTCGTAAATTAGTAGGCTGGATAGTTTCTTTGAAGTTGGGGGGAAAATGTTTGAGTTAGCATTCATTATTTTATCCTTAAAATTTTTCTTTGTTTTAAAGTGTATCTCTATTTGGCCTAGTACCACAAGTATGCACATTCTGTGTGTGTTGTATGTATACTCTCTCCTGCTCCTTCGCAGTTTTCACCCAGTGAAAAACACAAGAAGATTTGGAAAGTGCTACTCTATGGTATGAGCAGAGCAGGTGTCCTCAGTGCGGGTTTCAGAAAATATGAGTGAGAGACACTGAGATCTTAGGGATAGCTCTCAACCCTTTAGAGTGATGGGGTCCTCATGCATCAGGGTCACTGGAGCAGGGCCTGTCTAACTCTACTTTGGGGCACGTGTACAGTAGGTTCTGGAACCATGCGTTTTAAGGAGTGGACCATTTAGCAAAAGCCTTGCATCGAGAAGAGGTGTAAGGAGCAGAGTGCTGGAGAGGAGGCAGCTGAATGACTGCATTAAAAAGTGTTTCGAATGGAGATTTATCTTTTCCTTGTCCCGTTTTATTTGTAGTAAGAAGAAATGTCTTTCAAAGCATCTGGGCAGCACTGGGAATTTTACACCCATCATTAGAACGATTTGTGAGTGTGTGTGGTGACTGTGTTATCATTAGTGGTATAATTTTATTTTGCAAAGAGAGAAGTGTTTCCTGTTTTATCACAGCTTTCCCTGAGGAGGGCTGCTGTATTAATTTGCTGTATTGCCTCCTGGCTGTTCCCAGGCTGTTTTTCCTCTTCATCATGGAATTTTTAATGGCCCTCATGCCTCTTGGGAAGCATGTGAGGAAGAGTTCCTCAGGGAGTGCTTTCCTTTTTTCACATGCCTATAATTACTCTCCTTTAAGAGCACAAAGAGTCTGATAATCATGCCTGGGCTCTGAAGGGTGCCTCCTGTCAGGGATCTGAGCCGAGCTCCTTCCTAGCTGGACAGTGTCGTCTGCACTCTGCTCGCCTTCAGCATCTGAACACGGCCACCTCAAAACCATACAGCTTGGGATTTCAGAATAAGCTGAGGCCACTAAGGTGTGGTGAGTGACCTCAAGTATTGTAGTTTAGCATTTCACTATAAGCAAATAAATAATGAGACCTAATTTAAAGTAAGACTGTATGAATGTGTCATTTGGCAGGTGAAAGGGGCAGGAGGGAGATTTTTGTGGTTGTTATAACATTCGATAAATTTGTAGGTCCTCTCTAGGAATACTTCAGTTTGGTGGTAGTTTTCAACCCTGACTACTTGGGAGTCATCTGAGAAGCCTTAAGAAATGTATTCATAGGCACTAAGGGAGAAGGCTTAATTGATAAAGTACTTGCTGTACAAGCACTGGACCTGAGTTTGATTTCTAGCACTCATTTTTTTTCTCTTCCTTTCCTTTCCTTTCTCTTCTTTTCTTTCTTTCTTCCTTTCCTCTCTCTCTCTCTCTCTCTCTCTCTCTCTCCCTCTCCCTCTCTTTCTCTCTGCCTCTCTCTTTCTTAAGCTAGGCACCACAATATGCATCTATAATTTCAGCACTGGGGAGGCAGAGACAAGAGGATTCCTGGGGTTTGCTAGTCAGACACTCTAGACAAATCAGGGAGCCCTAGACTCTGTCTCAAAAGTTGGAAGACAATTGAGGAAGATGCCTAATACCAACCTGCAGTCTCTATGCACATATAAGAGCACCTGATGTAAATGTACACAGAAAAGCACATATGTGAACACTCACATGCATACAAATTAAAAACAAGAGTAATGACCATCCATGCTGAGCCTGACCTTCACAGATCAAATGTTGTTGGTCTGGTGAAAAGCCCAGGCGTTGATGTGATCTTTGAGCTTCTGAGGTGACTACTATGCAACCAGGGTTAAGGACTGTTGCCCAGAGTCCTGGTGGTTTCATGACTGGCCCTAATAGGGCACCTATTGTGTAACGGGCGCAGGTTCCATGCTTTGGTATTGTGAGCATCATTCTTCATGGAGGCAGACCACTGGGATTCCATTAGCTCCAAAGATGCTGTTTTGGTGAAGAAGAGTTATTTAGCATGGCATGTGGCACACAGTTGATGAATGAGGGCAGGCTGAGTTTCATTGGTGTGGAGGGTTGCATAAACATTTGACTGTCTGGGTAAACTCCATACAGCTGTTTTAGTTTAGTTTTGTTTGCTAGCATGCTAATGTTGGCATTTGCTGTTGAAGTAGTAGTGTGCAGTACTAAGAATCGTTGCTCTGCAAACAGCCTGATGGGGTGGTTGATGTTCTGCTAGAGGCAGTGGTATTGCAGATAAATTCATAATGAGACCAGAGCTATAGGCAGCTTTCCCCAAGATGAGATTGTGAAGAACCTACCCTTAACATACTACCTTCAGAAAGCAAGTAGAGACTACCAGTCACTTTTCCCTCTGACACATGTTATTGGCTTGCATATTTGAGTGCTTTGTGGCTGTTTTAGATTTCTCTGATTCCTTTGTCCTTCCCCCTGATTTGGAAATGCATCTATTTCCAATTATTCTCTAAGTTCTGAAACAGGAAACACTGTTCTAGTGTCCTTTTTCCCCTAAATAGGCCAGTTTCCTTGCAAATAAGCTTTTCCATTTGTGAAATCTTATTTTCAACTGAGTAAGGATAGCAGATTCCCAAGCATGTATTCATATAATAAACATGGATTTTACTGAGAGAACAAAAAGTCTCAGCATCTCCCGTTGTTTTCATTGCTCCTGAGATGTTGGGCAGAAAGCATTAAGAGCATGGGAATTAGTAATGTACGGTAGACTCCTATTAGTTTCTTGGGTTTACCTGAACAAAGCTTAACCTCCTTTGTTCCTCAGTTTCCACGTATTAAAAGTGCAAAGGTTTTCTTCCTTGACTAGCAAGGATTAAAATGAAATAATGTATGTAAATATTAAGCAGCCTAACAATCAACATTATTTTGGGGTTACTTCCCTATCCTATTCTTAGGGTGATTTCAATTTTAAGACCTTTGAGCTGGCTCCAGACTTATTTGCTAATGAGATGCTGCACAGATTTCAGGGCCTTAAGTGGCCTCAAGTTGACTCTAAGAAGAGACATTTGGACAGTGCTTGGGTAGAAAGAGGGGCCTTCCTACCCATTAGAGAGTTGAAATATGATGGGCCTAGCTCATTGTAATTCATTTTGTCTGTTCACAAGCATTATGATCTGCATATCAGAGTTGTGTGCCCAGCTGGCTA